GTCCTCTTACAGCATGTAGGAGAAGATGAGAGAGTACTCTGTTACGCCAGTCGAGCACTCATTGTCACCGAATGGAGGCTTTCGGTGACTGAAAGAGTGTGGTCTCGCTGTGATATAGACGATCGAAAAATTTAGGCTTTATATAGAAGGCTATCATTTTACAGTGAAAACTGAACACCACAGCTTGAAATGGTTACGAGATCTCAAGCATCCAAACAGTAAGCTTAGTGTTGGTCGCTGATTCTACAATCGTACAGCTTTGATATAGTGCATCGTAAAGGGAAATTCAACGTAGTTCCAGACGTCTTATTACGGATGTATGAAGATGACGAGACCACTGCAGCCAACTTAACATCGCTTCAAGCGTTTCCTCCAGTCAAGGACCCTTGGTACTTAAAGTGGATCAAAAAGGTTCGAGAAAACCCTACTAAGCACCCGTATTGGAAGTATAATGGATTAAAGCTATATATTTAAAAGCCAGATCCTCTCGTCGACGATCTAATGAGCGCGGACGAAGACGCATGGAAGTTAGTACTTCCTAGAGAACGGAGAACTCAAGTTCTAGTGGAATGTCATAACAGTCTAGCTGCTGGACACTTGGGGCGTTATAAAACGCTAAAGCGAGCCTCACTAAAGTATTATTGGCCTGACATGTATAGACACATAGCCCATTATGTTCGTATTTGCTTCGTCTATCAACAAAACAAGGTGGAGCAAGTTGCTTCAGCTGATTTAATAGAACGGCACATAGTCTCGCGGCCATGTAAAATAGTGGCGGACGATGCCATGAGCCCATTCTCGAGGTCCGCATAATGCCACGAACGGACAGGCGATTCGTCGCGAGTTGAAGGAACGAACCTTCTTGCGATTCAGCGTACCCGATAAATTCTTATCGGACAGTGGTAGGCCATTTAAAAATAAATCGGTGGACGAGTTCTTGGATTCGTTTGGCGTAATACATAGTACATGCGCGCCATACTAGCCAAAGAGCAACCCAACGGAAAGAGTGAACCGTACTATCAAAACTATGATTAGTGCTTTCATTTAAGAAAATCATGCCACCTGGGACGCTCGAATTCAAAGTACCTGATAAGTCTGTCCTAAATGCGAAATTCCACCACGCAAACGACTTGATACTCGTGCCTTATACTTCGAAAAAAAATAAATTCGCGCTGGTAATTTCTTCTGATAAATGCACAGACGCTATGCATAACGGAAAACCTGAAGTCATTTTACAATACAACCAGACTAAAGAAGGGACTGATTACTTCGATTAGCTCTGCCATTCGCATACTGTTTGTGCTAAAAGCAATTGCTGGCCAGTCAGAGTTTTTTTTTGGAATGCTTGACATGGCAGCTGTTAATGCACGTATTTTACTAAAATTTTATTTGGAAAATAATGGCATTAAAAAATCGATGTCAGCTAAAGCATGCTTGGACAAATTGGTTATGCACCTTGTTGAGCCGTATTTGGTACGTCGTTCCACGAAACCTACGCTACAAAATAATTTACGAGCCGAAATCAATAACATTTTGAACAAAGATGTTCAGGTATGTGACGAAGAGAAAGTCGAGTAGCTGACCAGGAAAAGATGCGGTCTTTGCAAGCGGGCAACTGACAGAAAAACTAAGTTACTTTGTCCATCGTGCGAAAGACCGATGTGCGATGAACATCGAGCATAGGAGTAAATATACACTGATTGTGTCGGTCATGAATAATTGTTCAGCTTATAATGTAGTTTTTACTTGTTTTTGATAATACTTATAATATGAATAAAAAAAATTTTCCAGTTTGAAGAACTTTTAATACTTTATTTCACACCTCAAAACTCATTTACCTCATTTCTTAAGTTTCGTTAAAACTGATAACTTCAATCTTCTGTAACGGGATGATTATCTTACGAAATGAGATATTTATTAACGCACAAGCTCCCATGATGCAGAGCTAACCGCCGCTCCGTTAAACGTGTATGGTTATGCGTGTGTTCACCTTTACGTTTGAAGCTTTCGTTTCAGTGTCTTCTTTTCAACCGAGTTTAACTCACCTTAAGTCACTTGACTTGTGACACTCGATCTATTTTCAGTATGAATGACTTAATGCCTAATCCGCCTAATCCCCTAGACGAAATCGGATTAAGACTTAAGCCTTTATAGATCTAATAACTATTAGGGAACGACGTGACGTAAACGGCGAATAAAATTATGCAAATTTTAATTAATAAAAACTACAGTCTTTTATGGGCCGAAAGACTAATGCACGCGAATAGGATTTATAATTATTAATTATAATTCGGTGAGAGAGAGAGAGAGAATTCGAAAATTTCCGCGAAATCTAACGCTCGGCGTGAATACAAAAAATTACGCTCGCGATAGACAAAATACTGTCGGAAGTATTTTGTCGCGCGGTGCAATAACGGTGATCAGCCGTAATTGTTGAAGCAAAATTAAGAGGTGCTCCTCGGATCCAAATCAGCTGCGCTGCCTCACTCGTAATACTGCTGCTGCTTGAGATGCTGCTGCTGTAAATGCTACTGCTGTTTAGCTTCCACATTGCACTCGCACGTATTAACAAATCCCAGGAAACTTTATAACTAATAATGGCGAAACACAGTGCAAACTAAATCCGATACTCTCGCGAAAGCAGCTGAGGCTTAACTGCCTATTTTCAAAACCTCACGCGCCCTCTCTCTCTCTCTCTCTTAGTCGTTCGAACTAACATCGCGAGTAGACAAATCGCGAACGGATCGATTAATCGAATCGACTACCGTTGCACTTCAAAATAAATATATTTTTTGAAAGCTACGATGCAAGACTATTTTTTCCTTCAATCAATACTATTTCTAGAGTATAACCCGAAAATTTTGTTTTAACTTATCCGTAAAATTGAAATTTTAAGAAATTTTTTAGTAAAACGTTACAATTTCCGAAAAAATGTTTTATTGTAATTTTTGGATGTTAACAAATTGAAAAAACAATTTGATTATAAAGAGGAAGTCCTAAACTTTATTTTCCCGCAAGATTTGAATCTATACATTAAAAAAACGCAATTAGCAGCTGTTTCTTTGCGTTGGGTCATTTTTATCCCATGTGACCAATACATTATTTGTAGGTATGATCACCACGGCTTAATTTATTTATAACTTTACAAGTATTAATTATTGTAATAAAGCGAATACTCTGAGCTCGAGATGAAAATCGTAGAAACATGAGTAAGAATTCGTTTTATTGATAGCAACTTAGTTACTATTGTTATCAATAAATAAAAAATTTATAATTTATTTAAACAAATAAAAGTATAATAATCGAAAGTGTTGATTTTGTACTTTTGTTGATTTTGACAAAATTGTTAGAATTGATAATTTTTAATTAGCCGATTTTATATTTACGTTATAAGATTTGGTCAAAAACATAAATTATTATTAATCAAATATTATCAAATAGTTTAAGTATTTGTTATTTGTAATAATGTCTAAAAGCGATAAATTATTTTTCTATTTAAAAAAATTCAATTATTTTATTGTAAAATTTACGGTATTGAATTAACTTTGTTAGTTAATAAATTTTAACGACGATTTTTGCGATAAGTGCGAATTATGTTTAAATTATCAATATTACATTCTGTATTTTTTACACTATTTAAATTTTCTTTAGCGCTGTCTATTTTTGTAAACAAGAGAAAATGATTTTATACATTTGCAGAAACAGCGTAAAAAGGGCTATCTCGCATAAATGGGCCTCTAAAATTTGTGTATAAATAGGCTCAATTTGACACAGATGAGAGGTATTCTCTCCTAACCTTGCAAAGTAAGCGCTTGAGATTGAATAAACTTGGCTTATACCTAAGTTGTTTCTCACTTATGATTTGCTATGCAAGCATTTCCTCTCCTATTATAATTTACGCTCAACTCATAGAACATTTCGCGCTATGAGAAACTTGGGCTGAATCACATTCTTTTTTCCAAGAAAGACTTATGATCTGATTATGGGACACTTCGTACTATAAGTAACTAGGGCAAAGTTTATCTTTCCTTAATTCCATTCCAAATAGTTATATATTTTGATTACAAAGATTTAATTTTCACATATAAGATTAAAATTATATATCATAAGTAATATTAGATATATTTACTTTGAAACGAATTCTTACTCATTAACGCAAGAGACTACAAAAGTACGAACAAATATAAATAATAAGTGATTAGCGATATCACATTTATAAATTAGACAAAAATGTCTTGTTTTATATTCTTAAAAAATTATATAAACCAAATTTTTGTTCTGAAATCTTCCTGGACTATTTAATTCTAACTATTATGATCACGAAATCAGAAATTTATCTTTATATCCTTTCAATTAGGAAATAGTACATTATGCACTAAGGGAGCACAGTGCGTGGTTTACCTACTATTCTTCCGTAGTACATTTATGATTTTTTCGCATATCCCTGTACAAAGGTGATGGTGCACTCTCAGTAGGCGATACAGACCTGCATTGACTGTCTAAAACTAAAGTGTGTCGTATACCGTGCAATATGACATGTTTATCACTCGAAACGCAGCCGAGAGCGATAAAGGCACATTACTCTCGAACTATTCATGTGGTTCTGCACTCTCTGATAGAAGAGTACTCCACTTTGCACGTAATGTGCGGAAAAAAATTTCAACGATTTTAGATAATTTTTCTTGTGTGTGTGTGTGTGTGTGTGTGTGTGTGTGTGTGTGTGTGTGTGTGTGTGTGTGTGTGTGTGTGTGTGTGTGTGTGTGTGTGTGTGTGTGTGTGTGTGTGTGTGTGTGTGTGTGTGTGTGTGTGTGTGTGTGTGTGTGTGTGTGTGTGTGTGTGTGTGTGTGTGTGTGTGTGTGTGTGTGTGTGTGTGTGTGTGTGTGTGTGTGTGTGTGTGTGTGTGTGTGTGTGTGTGTGTGCTTTGTGGAGAAAAATATTGTAAACTTTATACCAAAAGATTATTGTTGAATGTTTGAATAAAGTACACTTAATTCTTATAGGTTGGTCTTCAGGAAGCAGTCAATATAGCACTGGTAACAATATTCGACTGCAGTATTCAAATCAACAATCGCAATCACCTCAACAGCAGCATTCACAAACTCAGGGAATTATCAACACATCTGTATCATCAGTGACTGCTGTTACTAGTTGCCAGCAGTGGAATAATCAGCCATCTAGATCATCGCCGCAGGGCATTATTAACCCTATAGTACATAACTCGCCTTCATGGGATCATCGATGTAATCAATCTTCGAGTTCTGTATATCCTTCAACAGGGTCCCAACAGGTAAAGATAAATTGTCTATGTACCTATATTTATAGAAATGGTTCATCTTAATTTCTATTAATTTAGAAAAATTCTTAATATGCTAAGTAATATACAAAATTACTCTGTATCATCTGCATATATTTCACGTAATATTTAAAATTATACTTATGTGTATTTGTTAACTAATTAGTTTGGAATTATACAGAACAATTTATTTTTATAAATTTTGAATCTTTTAAAAAACGTATTTCAAAATTATGTTAAAATGCTTTATAAAAACTAAAAAAAACATGAAATTTCTTTTCCTCATTAATTTTGTAAAGACGGCAAGTAACGAAAAAATTAAATTTTTAAAAACAATAAAAAGTGCTACGATTATTAAGGAATATGACTGTTGGAACATGCTACGGTTTAACTTGTAGTGATGAGTGCGTCATTTTTCCGAGAGCTTCTAATCACTGAAGAGACACGCATAATTGATATGCAAACGAATACATACTAATGATTTTTTATTACTGTTATATTTGTTAATTGCATTTTTTCTAATTAAAGCTACAATTATTTTTTCGCACTAATCTTAATTTTATCATTTATAAACCGCATATGACCTCTCAATGATTATATGACAAAACGTCCAAACCGAAAATATACTCAATTATTTTACAAGATAAGACAAAAATTTTACAGAATAATCCTCAATTTCCTTAACCACTGATCCACACTTCAATCATATACTCGTAAGTAGGACATTAACAATGCGCCAACATAGTCACATCTATGCCCGACTTAATAATAGCGCGTGCAGACAGCGAGAGCTAGGGACGACAGGGAAAACGCTACGATAATTTCCGACTGAGATACAAAACTTTCATGTTTGCCTGATTTTGGTGTAGGTATGGCAAAAATAATTGATGGGCACTGTACTACTGGACCTCCGATATAAATAAACTATTGGATCTAATAGATTTCACTATCATTAGAGAATTATATCAAAAAAACCTAACAGCCACAACATGCCTCTATTTAACTTCAGATCATTTTCATGAACTTCTTCTCAACAATTAAAATAAACTAAAAAAATGTTCCTTATATAATAAATGAACAAATTAGGATTCTTACAGAGCATTGATAAATGAAAAACTTTCATGTACCATATCATTAAAATAAACCAAGATATCGATACTGTGATTAAAAACCTAAATTACAATATTTATAATGCTATTGAAAATGCAACTTCTATGCACGCAATACATTAACAAATAAATTTAATTATTTCAAAAACAATATCTCATAAAATTAAAGAAAAAAAATTACAAAAATATAGCTGTCAACCTAATTACAAATTTTTAAAACCAAAATTAATCGGTATATTAAAGAACTTTAAAAAATTCTTTACGATGAAAATATAAATAATTACCTAAGTAACCTAACTCCAACTAAGGCTATTGCTTACTCACTTTGAAAATCAAATAAAAAAATTAACCAATTACAAATATTCTCTTCTCCGACCTTAAAAAATGACATGAAATGGGCTAGAACAAGTATTGATAAAGCTAACATATTCACTAAACATTTACAAAATGTAAGTAACCCCACACAATATAAAAATACAGAAGATAAAGAACAAATATTACTAAACTGTATGTATAGTAATAATAGTAATAATCACTCAATTGATTATAAAATAAATATAAATTACTTAATATAAAAGAAATAAACTACGTAATTCGTCAACTATAAATGTCGACAAATATATAATAACAAAACACTCTGTCGATAATGTAACGGTCCTATCTATGAGCTAGCTAGTTTATTATATCACTGAACCACTGCAACCCGTCAAACGCATGTATCTGTTTACTTCAATCAGCACATTAAACGGCGCCACCTCACCGATTATTTGATTGTATTAGTACAAGAGTAATTTTATAACCAAAATAAGGAGCGTGACGTCACAAAGTAATAAATATATTTATAATGATTTTTGTTATTTAAGAAAAATATGTTAATTAGAGATAATTTTGATATAACAAAGTATTTCTTATATAGATTTTAGTACGTAGATTTAAAATATAGTAATACGAATTGCGTTTAATTATTAAATAATAATGAATTTTAATATGAAAAGTTAATTTATTTATTATGAATACTAAAAACATGAATTATTAGAAAAATGTAAATAGTCCAAATGCAAAATGAATAAGAAATTAACATGAGTAAGAATTGGTTTCATTGATAACAGCTTAATAATAACTGTTATTAATAAATAAACAATTAATAATTTATTTAAACAATAAGTTGTATGTAGAACGAAAGCGTTAATTTTATACTTAATAATAACTTTATAATTTATAAATCTTAGATAATTAATCTAATAATTACGTTATAAGATTATAGAAAAAACCGTTAAAAATATGAAAATCTATTATAATTCAAATGTTATTTTTTTAAAAATTACTTCTAAAATTAATAAACTATAAGGTTATTTAAAAATTTAATAATTTTCCATTGTAAATATGGTAATATTACATTAATTAACTTTATTAGTTAATAACTTTTGATGACACTATTTGCGATAATTGTTAATTACACTAAATCAACAAACAACGAATTCTGTAAAGTTCACATGTGTTGAAAGCTCATTATTAATGTTTATTTACTTGTAAATTAAGAAAACTTATTTCTCAAAATTCGCGAATGTTTCTCGAATATTCGAAAACTTCTCGAAGAAAACGCTCCTGCGAAAAAGGCAGGAAAATTCGTGTATAAATACGCCCACTATTGCACAGGCTGGCATTCACTTCTAGCCTTGCAAAGTGAGCGTATGTGTCTGAATAAACTTGGCTGATACCTAAGTTCTTTCTCTCATTGTGATTAATTGAGCAAGACTTTTCCTTTCCTATAATTCGAGCTAAACTTATAGAATATCTCGCGCTATAAGAAACTTGGGCCGAATTATATACTATCCAAGGAAGATCTTAGCTCTGCTTATGGGACAATTCGCACCATAAGAAACTAGGACATAGTCTGACTTTCCTAGAAACCACATTCATATTCGCATATATTTGATTTTTCAATTTATTATTATCACCTTATATTTGATTTATCTATTTATTTTATTGACAAGTAGAGTAGATTTATTAGAAACGAATTCTTACTCATTAGCGCAACTAGATACAAGAGTACGAATTATTTATAAGTGATACGAACATCACAATAAACTTTTATTCAATAAACTTTAAGACACATACGCTCACTTTGCAAGGCTAGAAGTGAATGCCAGCCTGTGCAATAGTGGGCGTATTTATACACGAATTTTCCTGCCTTTTTCGCAGGAGCGTTTTCTTCGAGAAGTTTTCGAATATTCGAGAAACATTCGCGAATTTTGAGAAATAAGTTTTCTTAATTTACAAGTAAATAAACATTATAATGAGCTTTCAATACATGTGAACTTTACAGAATTCGTTATTTGTTGATTTAGTGTAATTAACAATTATCGCAAATAGTGTCGTCAAAAGTTATTAACTAATAAAGTTAATTAATGTAATATTACCATATTTACAATGGAAAATTATTAAATTTTTACATAACCTTATAGTTTATTAATTTTAGAAGTATTTTTTTAAAGAAATATTCAAATTAGTTAATAACATTTGAATTATAATAAATTTTCATATTTTTAACGGTTTTTTCTATAATCTTATAACGCAATTATTAGATTAATTATCTAAGATTTATAAATTATAAAGTTATTATTAAGTATAAAATTAACGCTTTCGTTCTATATACAACTTATTGTTTAAATAAATTATTAATTGTTTATTTATTAATAACAGTTATTATTAAGCTGTTATCAATGAAACCAATTCTTACTCATGTTAATTTCTTATTCATTTTGCATTTAGACTATTTACATTTTTCTAATAATTCATATTTTTAGTATTCATAATAAATAAATTAACTTTTCATATTAAAATTCATTATTATTTAATAATTAAACGCAATTCGTATTACTATATTTTAAATCTACGTACTAAAATCTATATAAGAAATACTTTGTTATATCAAAATTATCTCTAATTAACATATTTTTCTTAAATAACAAAAATCATTATAAATATATTTATTACTTTGTGACGTCACGCTCCTTATTTTGGTTATGAAATTACTCTTGTACTAATACAATCAAACAATCGGTGAGGTGGCGCCGTTTAATGTGCTGATTGGAGTAAACAGATACATGCGTTTGACGGGTTGCAGTGATTCAGTAACATAATTAATTAGCTCATAGATAGGACCGTTACAACTTGATAATTTTGTTAACGGAGGACATCCCGCATCTCTTTCAAAATCTAAAATTTTTCTGTAAATAAAAAAATGTAATTAAGAATTATCTACATAAACTAAATATTCAAACACATTACTAAAATTTACTTTTCAGGTAAAATATTTTGAAGCCATTGCTTTTTCTCTTTCCCTTTCACATAGATATTTTTAAAATTTGACAAATGATTTCGTAAAACTTCTAATAACAGCATTTGTCTGCAAAATATGAGGTTGTAATTGTTATGGAGTAGCTGATAGTTATTTCCGAAGTAATTTTCGGCGTAGAACGCAAATCCGGGTTCAGAATTATTCCATCATATCAGGTTTTGAGTAATCCTAACCTAAAAATGTGAAAAACACGGTTATTCGCCATATTTGAGCATTCATAATATCGCCATTTTTTATTATTTTCCAAATCTGTAATAACTATCAGAAAGGGCTACTTCTGAGCTTTCCATATCAGTATTTATATGCATGAGTATCATTTTCTATACCGGAGATATCATCGATTGAAAAGAACTGAAATACAGGTTTCGCAATGACCGATATGTGAACAGAAAAAATGACATGACGTGTAAATTCCTTTGTTTAATTTTTGTTAAACGACGCATTATATTAACAAAAAATCTTGAATAGCTGGTAGCGCATAGTTTATAAAACCTCAATTAAGCTGTAATTCCATAACCTCAAAC